TTCATACAATAGGAATTTTCACTTTTTATCCTTATTGATTATTGTTGTCTATATTTTGTTATCGTCTATGTTCAATAGTTTTTTTGTCACTCACCTTTGTGAGGTTGTTTTCATCCCTATATCAAAGATTGAGGACCGCCAAATTTGCCAATTCGGAATGAATTGTTTGCAAATCAACGTTTTGTTAATAAAGTGTCACTGCGTGTGCTGATTTGTAATCGCTGATGAGGTTAATTTTTATTGTTTGCGTATTGACTTTGATTGTTTTTTTATTTGTTTGCCATTTATGAAGAAAACAATTACTGATTGAAAATCAAGAATAGAGGAGAAAGTCGTAATTATACTGGGTGTTGACAAAGAAAGTCACAACAATTTGCAACCCCTTGCAAAATTTTATAAATGCCTTTTGTTGTGGGTACGACATGCTTTTACTTTTCGTCCTCGATTATTTGCAAGTAGTAATTTTTACTAAGAGAATCCTGATTATGCGGATAATTCATATTTTTCGTGTTAAAAAAGAAACTATCAAGAAATTTTTTTCCCTTATGGAATAAACATTTTACTTATATTATTACATTATTATCAGTTGTACATTTCACGAGTTGTGATTAAAAACTAAAGAAATTTTAGCGTTCTTTGAGAAATATTAATTAAAATTCAATTTTCATCCGAAAGTAGTCTTTCTTTGGTATTATGTGGTTTCTGATTTGAGGAACTGTTGGGTAATTGTTAGAGGTAAGTTCTCAATTCTCATCCCAAAGTAGTCTTCCTTTGATATTATGCACTTGTGCCACCGTAGTTTTTATTTTGAGGAACTGTTTGATAATTGTTGGAGGTAAGTTCTCAATTTTCTCTAGAATTTCTTCTTTGTTTGTTTATTATTGAAAACAGATATAAGCGAATATATATTTTAAGTGGTTTGATAATACTTATTCATAATTGTTGCGTTATATTTGCAAGTTATCTTGGCTGGTCTTATAAAATAAAATTTTAATATGAAATAGAGTGGCATCATTGTTTTAAAATTTATTTTGATTTTTAATTAAGTTAAATAATTTAAATCTAATTTAAATTAATAATTATGAAATTTATGATTACGATTTGTAAACCTATCGTAATCAATCATTTAATCAGTATGCCCTGTTAATACACTTTTAGTGCAATTTTTATTTTCGATTATTAACAATTTTCATTTTTTATTGTTAAGTCTCTATGAGAAGTTTTATTGCTTTGTTTGATTTAAGTGAAAGAACCATAAGATCATGTCCTTTCTTTAAAGAAATTGTCGATGAACGTTGTTTATTGTGCCATTGTAACTGCAATGCACGGTATTAATTTTGTTAAATCAATGGTTTTAATATAGAAAATATATAATGGATCCACTGAAAAAATAGAAACCTTAATTTTTAAAAGCATCCACGTTAAGTGCAACAATTTGAATTACTATATTTAAATGCTGATATGTAAAGAAATTGGGTACACAACACGAAAATTTGGGCACCATGATTATTTAAAAGCCGATATATTGAACGTTGAAAAAGGATTAGTTCATTGCTTCTCAAATAGCAAATAAAAAAGTATTTTTCGTTGTGTAGTTATTGGTTACGAAAACGGATATATTACAATATTTCAAAGTGTAAGTCACTGCATGTTGATCATAGTGACATTTGTTTTTCTTATCAACACAATCTTCCCATTTGAACCTAAAGATGGGATGTACCTTAAGCTGCTAAAACAAAATTAGAGTATATCAATATCGTAATATACTGTAATTGTAACCAAATGCAAGTTACGTCTTTAAGGTAGGGTCGATTGTATACTTTGGTAAAAATGCCAAAGTATACAAATAATAAAGTATTCCCTGAATATAATAATAATCTTGTTCACATTAAATAGCATATTAATTTATTAGTTACTGGATTTAAACTATATAGAATACTTTACATAGTTTTTGCAGTTCAGTAACTTAGGGAATTGCTGAGTAATATGAGGTTATCTTACAAAGAGTATTGATATCGAAATTATATATTTAGTACGTGACAAACATTTATGTTATGTTATACTTCAACTTTGCAATTAAATTACTAATAAATATATTATTTGTGCAATACTTCAAATTTAAATATTAAACAGGAATTTTATGATATATTAACCCTATATAGAAAGTAGAGTGATAAGAAAACAAGAATATTAAAATAAGAAATATTTCATTTATTTAAATTCACATTTAAAAACTTCTTGACTACCCAACAGATCTCTATTCGATAATAGATTACTTGTTATGTAGATATTAATACTTAATTAAATTATTTAAATAATTGAAGTGTTAATAATTTTAGAGAAAGTCGAAGGCACTTGTTTTATTACTTAAGATGTGACTTAAATTACATTTCTCGTAAATTATGGAAATATTCATGTCCTTTTAATTTAACAAATGATTATCAATCATCAGCAATTCACATCGCTGAAAAAATTCCATTGAATTGAGTTTTGATTTGCAAAGAACTTTGATTAAAATCGTAGGTAGATAGGCAGTCAAGCAGTAATAACTTCATTCAATCAATACAGAAATCAGAATATTTCAAGCCTCTGTTGATTAGAGGAAAGTTTTTTTCATTACTACTACCTTTTAAATGAAAAAGGAACGTTAATTTGAACAAAATGAGAAAATAAATAAAAAATATATTTTCAATCAATTCCCTTATGAACAATTGGAGTTGCAAATTATTTTCTAATGAAGTATATACGATAGATACGAATACATACGAACATCGGATGGAAAATTTAATAGTTTTTAAATAAAAAGTAAAAGTATTTAATTAATGTGCAACAATAATTATATTTAATAATATTTAATTGATATTAAATATTAAAGAAAAAGTGTACCAGATTATCATAAATATCATTATCATACCACATGAAAGTATTACTATATTATAATTGAAAATTATTATAAATTACTTCGTTATTATAGACTAAAGTACATGTAACTCTATCAGATATGTGGTTAATATATTTTTAAAAATATTAAAATAATATATAAATGAAATAAATTTTTTGTAAAATTGAGAAAAGAAAACACCGCGAAAGTTCAAGATACGGATTAGAAAGGTTATTAATAAAAAATAAGTAATTATATTATATACTATATTGCATTATTTATTAATATATTAAGCTATGATTTTAGTATTTTTTACTTCATTTTTTATTTTTGTAAGTTTTCTTGCAGTTCAAATATAACTTCCACCACAATAACTTTTCATTTAAATATATTGAATATCTTAACAAAAGGAACTAAACACAAAAAATATAATAAAAAATATTCATTGTATAATAAATAATAAGAGTAAAAAATTCTTTCATAATGGAATTTCAATTTGACCCACGTGGATATGAATGCCAAGAAAAATATTTCTGCTGTTCTTTGCCCAATCCATGTGTCCGCAACAGCATAAGCCCACCTATTTTATGCTTATTTTATTAAAAATGAAAAATGAGAAAAACCTACCAAAAATATATGCAAAAAATTGTGTTCAAAACAATTTTCTTCATAGCCAGCGACTTACGCCTCACGAAATTGGTTTCGAAGAAAATGTATTCCCTATGAGAAATAATACCAAATTCGAAAGCATTCCGATGCCAAAATTTTGGATATGCATTAGTGACATTGAAAATACCGCTACTGGTATAGAAAATATATTATTAATAAGTTTGTTTAAGTATAAAATGAAACTATTGTATTTGTAATCGTTAACATCAAAGAGTAATTATTTTGATTTATATTTTTCTATTTTATATCTACTAAAAGTATATTTAACAGTATACTAATCAGTTTACTACATGATTGCGTGTTTGGGGATACGATTACCATATTAGTAATATAGATTTATATTATAAGATATAATATAAATATAATATAATCTTCACAAATTGGTCCAATAATGAAACTATGTATAAAGGCCAATTTTAATATGAACACAAGTTTTGATTTAATATTAAATTAATATTCATTCAATTGATTTTAAGTGACATTTTTTTACTCAAAATTAATACTTAATTGACATTTATCTTAAGCGTATGTTGTTAGTTTGACTCTAACAATATTTAGCATTAAATGTTAATAGTTTTTGAAATTAATTATATATTATAAAAATTATTTCAGAATTAATTACACTATTAATAGTACGGATCTGAGCTATTGAGCTCTATCTCCATACATAAATCGATGTTAAAATGTCGTCTACAGTTTCCGTTAACTTTACCGTCTAATATAGTTTAAAAAAGTGGTGAGAAAATAATACCGTTTGAAAACCCATTTGCAGTTGAAGCAATTTCTTGAAATATTTTATGTTGCAACCAATCCTTTAAAGTTTAATTTATAAATAAGGTTTGAGGATATCATAGGAAATATTAAAATTATAGATATAAGAGGGTCTTCTGGGTGCATATTTAATAGAATGGTTATGAAATATAAAATAAATCAGTTGATTGCTATAAATGTGGATTGCTATAAACTGCCACTAAATTGTGGTACCAGTAGTGTGAAATATCTTTATATATATTCTTTTGATTGACCATCATGTTACTTATAATTTATGTTCTTATATTCATGTTAAAGTTAGTTATGCGACACATAAACTCTGCTATGACGTAAATACCACACTCAAAAAAAAATTTCAGTCAAAGAATTATTTTAAAAACATTATTCAAATTTATTTTGTTGCTTAAAATGGCATTGTAATTGAATGTGTTAGGAATCTATGGTATTCAAACTTTTAGATAATTTTTGCAGGAGACCTTTGTTTTCTCAAAAAATATTTTCTAATCATCTTTTGTCAATAATTTATGTTTTAAATACTTATTGATAAGGAATGATTCTTCAATCTTTCATCGTTTTCTAGTCATCACCATTTGAAGAAACCTACTTACATTGTTTTTCTGACAATGACGGATAAATTTGTTCATCATCACCAACACACCCTACCATATTAAAAGACAAATTAAGGTAACATAGGAACATTTATTCAACAATTCTAAGATGCGGTCAATAATACCATGTAAATATATTTAATTTCGACTGCGTTACATCCAAACATATTTCGCATTTGAAAATATACAAGAAACTGACAATTTTGCATTAAAAATTTTGGTATATCAAATTCTCGTCAACTGTTTTCCATCAACCACCTCTTAGAGTACTTAACTTTAACGTTAATAGATAACTACTATTAAATAATTTACTGTTACTTAACAATATTCCTTAAAACTATATTTGAGCAGTTACCTTCAGCAATTCCATTCACCAGTTGAAACAACTGCTCACTGGGGTTGTTCTTGTATCTAGATCTTGTAAGTAGTGGTCCTTGCTGAACGCTTCGAATTGAGTCGAATTGAGTTAGTTTTTTTGATAATCTTCCTGCTGATCGGTTTCTACACACTCGGCTATTTTTGTTTTGGTTTTGAATTTTGTTTTTAAATTTGCGTTTTCTATTATTTTTGAAATAGCCTAAATATACAACATTGGCAACCATAGCTCCACAGATTTTCTTGCAAGCATTGAATAAACGAGTTAAAGCCATATTTACTAACTAAAGCAGGGACGTAGGATAACTTTGTTAGAATTACTGAAAAGAGTTATTCTAGGAAAAATAAAAGATCTTAAAGAAAGAGATATATATATCATTATACTTACGAAACCAATCCTTAAATAAAAGTTTTGAATGGAAGGACTCGATTTTGTGAGTTAAATGGCAGGGTAGTCTAAAAACATATAAAATATTGTTGACTTTAATATACAATATAATCTTTAAAATTTAAAGCTATTTTAATTGTAAGAAATATGTAATATTTTTATAAAGAATGAATTTTAATATAAATAATATTTTGTGTTTTTTTACGAATTAATCTTAGATTAAATTCTTAACTAGTATTGATGTTTTGTTTTGTTATATTGTGCAATAGAACATCTTTTATTAAAATAAATTTTGCTCCTTATGTAAAACAATATGTTCCGACGCAAAATGTAGAGTTTCTGGGTAACCAAAAAGTTGAATACGAAAGCAATTTTCGTATCCTGCATGTATAATTTCCTTGTCTGTCTCCACAAATAACAATCAAAATTGTGGTGCGGCCAAATTGCATAAATATGAATAAACTTGGAAGCGAATACAAACATTAATGCGAAAAGTATAAGTTTTTGGGATTTTCTTATCAAATTTAAATAAAAAATTTTTGCAGAATGAAATGCGAACTTTTTTATAAATTTATAATATTCTAGAGTATATCAATATATAACCATATGTATTTTGAGTTTATATTATTATATGAAACTTGTAAGAGTTTTTATATTTCATTGCTAAGGCTAAAAATTTAGAGAGGTTTTATCAGATAAAAAATTTAAAAGAAACAATGGGAAAATTTAGGCAGGGCCAAGAAAATAGAAAAGAATCTTGATTAAATTTGCTTGAGAAAACAATGTATCCATAATGAATATTGCGTATTTTTATCATACAAAAAGGCTTTCTATATGGGTAAACTACAAAACAAATCTCAATTTGTCTCTCTAACCTTTGCTGATTTGTAGTATTTAGGGATTTGACGTTTTGACTGCTCAACTGTCATATTTGACTTCCCTTCCGATTAAAGGTTTTTAAGGTGAGTCAAATTTGTCGTAATAGATGACACAAGTGCAGTTTCCACCATTTAGTACTGCTGGTGTATAACTGGTAGTGAGTGAGTTTCACTTACGGCACTCGACTGGAGATGTAAAGCTGGTGCCACGGTGGTTATGGCAAGCATTTGGTTCCCTTAAGCGAGTGTCGTGGTAACTGAGATTAAGAATCTTATAAACAGTCAATAACTTTTTCCAACTGCGTGCTGTGAACAGCAGAAATATTAAATAGGTTACGTTTCCCATAAAGCAGTAAGCTATATCCAAATATAAAGCTTCAATGGAACTCCTTGGCATTCCAATGGAACGTTTATTAGTGCATTACACTGATACATTGGTTAAAAACACCGTGGTGTAAAGCCAACCCAGATGGGAATCTGGACTATATCACATTCGTCTTAACGAAAGTCATTTAGCTGTCAGATCTTTGATGATTTAGTTAACCAGTGGATTTTATGATTTTTGAATTTCAAAGAATATGATACAATGATGAGACTTATTTTAGAATATACCATATATATTTATAAACATACACATACGTGCCTTTACGAAACGTCCTTTACATTTAGTTCAAATCACGTTTGCAAAGTTTTCACTGAAAATTTTATTTCTATTTATTTGAATGCATGCGAGATAACTGAAAAAAAAAGAATGTTAAAAAATTACCAAAAATCAAACAAAAACTATAATTCTAATACTTTTTAATAGTTTTCAATAAACTTAAGTATATATAACTAAATCTGTGACATATACTCAATAGAGATAATAGCGTAAACAATCTCTATTAGAATATTTTCTTTGAACTGTCAATTAGATAATGTACATATATATAATTTTTAAAATTAATTTGACATTAAAGTAAAAGCTTAGATAGCTTAGATAGATTATTTCAACAGAACGTTTACTTACCAATTACTTGTGACCATTCATCATATGACAGACCGTTATGTGATCAATTTTTAAGCTCAGGCCACGACCAAAGGTATGTTATAAGAAAGTCATATCTGGATTGTCAATTTCGTACTTTTGCTACTAGTTTAGTAGCAAAAGTACTAAAAGTAGTAGAAGTTTGTATTTCTGTGAATGTGCTTACGTATCTATACAAAAATGCCTATATTTACTAGTAATGTGCAAAAATTTTGACATTTATTAGTGAGCAACACTATCCCCTGTTCCCCTGTAAAGGAATACCTTGACACTATCCCCTGATCTCCTGTGAAGGAATACCTTAACGGCGATCTCCAGGATTTTCAGCTGAGAATGTGTGTACTTTCTAGTTTGAAGATATGTATAACTCAATGAGTCGTGCATGAGTCGGGAATGCAAATGGTACGGGTGATTTGTATTTTTAGAAGATTTTCCTTTCAGGTTCGATACCCAAAAAAGAAAAAAAAACACTAAACACTATTTTGATCAACTTGACGAGGCTTTCCTTATAAATTTTTTAATTTACTTTGAAAAGAAAAAGAATTTTATATGTGAAGTAACCAGGTCTGTATAATATGGCCATAGGATACACTTTAACAAAACAAAATCCTTTTACATATACTTTATATACAATAGAGTCCGATAACTTTTGTTACACAAAATCAGAGTAAAATTGATGGAATTCATGCATAAAAAAAATTAATTGAAACTTAGAAGTAATTGGATGTATTGGATGTTAAAGTTCTAACAATACTGTAAAGTTCCAAACATTACAAAAAGTAAATCTAAAATATTCCGCCAATGCTTCTAAGATTTGCTTACTTTTGTAATAATAGAATGTTTGTCTAAGCTATAAAAAAATGGAATTTATTCGGTATTAATTAATAAAATACACAAACAAATGTTAATTGTTAGAGACCTTAGAGACCTAAGGCTGGAGTTTGCAAATCGATTATGCCAGCGCTTGACCTAAACCATCGTATATGTTTTACAGGTTGTTTAAGTTGTAGCTTTCAATTGTATCAATTGTATATCTAATTCCTGCACAATAATGGCTATCGAAGATATCGTAGATAATAAAACATACTTGGTGACAGATCATTCTCAAATCTGCAATGATAGTGTTGTATAATAGTACCAAGTTATTGCAAAATTCATTTGACGATTGATTTTAAACGCACATTCTGTTTGTATTATCCTTCAAATACCTGATGAAGTAAAATGGATTAGTACGTTGTTATTAACCTTTATTAGCAAGTTTAGTGATTTAATTTGGCAAAATCAAAGTTAAGGCCCTGGCGACATTCTTGCCGGGTTTGACTGCCAGTTCGCAATGTAAACTTGAACTATGAAAACACCAAAGTGCTGTTATAAAGCATTTTAATACATTGTATACATATAAACCTATACTTGTATGTACAATATGTATGTGGATTTATATTACTTTTCATACATAATATTGTATTTACATTATGAATAATTATCTGATTTGCCAGTTCAGCCTTCATATATTTCATATTAAATATTATTCTTGATGTAAATATTAGACTAAAATTGAAACAAAATTTTCTCTCTTATTTCTTATTCAAAGATGGTTAAGCTATTAATGCATAGTACACATATTAATGAATATCATACTAATATAACCAAAAAGTTCGTGATTGGGAATAATAAAAATTTATATATACATAAAATCAAAGAAATTTATCTGATGTTTTCAAAACTGTAATTGTGAGTGAATATTTTCTCACATAATGGAAGCTCACGAAATGCACAAAATATGATACAAAGCGTTCGCCCACCCCAAAGCGGTAATTGTTCCCGAGTGTGTGTAAAGGTAGTAAACATTGGAAGACCCACACAATGAAGCTAACGATGACAACAAGCACATTTTTTCCACAACAACAACGAACACACTTTAGCATTCACTGCAAAAAAAAAAGAAATTGCCTGTACAATCAGCCCACGACCTGCTACCCAGAAACAAGCCATTGCCACCCCCGAAAATATGAAAAAAAATAGAAAGAAAAAAGAGAGTACAACAACTACACTGAAATAAAAACAAACATGGTAGCGCGGAAGTCAGTTTGCAACCATTTTCCAATGATGGATTTTAAAAATTTTAATGGTTCCTCGCGGATGAGCAACTTTTAAGGCTTGTTTGAGTGTGACTGAGACTGAGACTGAGAAGGCGACTTCGATAACTAAAAAATTTCCGAGGAAGTATGTGAATGTCTGTGCGTATGTTACTGTGGTATACTGTGGGTGGTGTCGGGTGCTCGCACTTTTTTCCTTACTTTTACATCATCGATCGTCGGCCATTGAGGGTAAAAAAATTGTATTAAAATGTCTAAAAAAATTTCGTAAGGTTGCTGTTCCAGTGTTTGCAAGTTTGTCTGTGCTCCGCATTGAGGGTTGGAATCGATATTTCGAATATTTCGTTAGTAAAATATAATCTAATATTAAGGTAAAATTTTGAGTTGTTTGCTGGTGGGAGACGGTGACTAGGTGTGGGCTTAGTTGGGCGCACGTACAAAAAGATTAGGCTATTGCCACTGTTGTGTTGGATATTTACAAATGATAATTTTAAATGGCTTCCGCGCATTTGTTTGTTTTGCCATATTTGATTTTCATAAAATAACAAATTTTTAATTTTATTGTAACCTTGCAAACCAAATTTAATTTCCTAGCAACTTTTTGATTTTTCACCCTACCTTAGTCCCATCGCCTTCAGGCTTGCCTCTTCGGTCCTATTTTCAACTTTAACTTGGGTTTTTCTGTTCACGTTGAAGTTGTTGTTGGATTGTACTGTTGTGTACTGTTTAATTCGTTGCATATGCCAGACATTTACTTCAGCTTAAGGCACTGATAAAGTCCTTTACTGATATTTAAATGCTAATTGCTTTTTAATTCCGTAATTTCTTAACGAAAAATATTGTAGACAGCGTTGCTTTAATGCGGATTATTTTTACAAGCTAATTTCTTATGTAAATTCTATGTTGAGTCCATTCCTTGTTTTGATTCTATAATCCTTGCAAAAATTGTAATTTTAAGGCGTTTGCTATTGAACAGCGGGAAGAACAATAATTAAACTGTAATTACATTTTGAATTATGTATGAACTTAACTTTTAAGTAAGTAAAGAAAGCAGCTTATGGTTTGAAAATTTATTTTTTAAATAATAGCTTTAAGAAAATTATTTTTCGGAAAAGAAAATTATTTTATTATAAGTTTGATAGGTATGTATTATTATTAAAATTATTGTCGTATAATCGCCAAACAGCCATTACTGCGGCTAGAAGAGTCCTATTGTACCAATTTCGCTATTGATTACAAAAAGCCCTTTAGAGCTTTACATACAAAGTCCAAAATTAGATCTAGAAAAGATCTCTTAAATTGTTCTGGTGACAGAAATTCCATACGAAAGCTGGACAGTCACAAAGAATATGCATAGTAGTTTCCTCATATTCCTCAGATTATGTATCAAATAATCTGCATTCCGAATTAACAAATTATCGTAGTTTATGATGGTGATATTTCAGACCATAATGACCTGTAATGAAATTCGTTACCAATGTTTTGTTTTTTCTATGTCATGGGAAGTCTTCTCAGTACACCAGCCGTATATAATTCTTCCTCTCTTGAATTATTCGTTTTCTACTGGCTCAGTTTAGCTCACAAAAGAGTAGATGGTCTGTAAAAGCAGTTTTTGATGCAGTTCTGGTAAGCTTATCAGCTTGTTCATTTCACAAAACTCCCATGCGATTCGGAACCCAGTAAATACTTATTTCGCGCTGCATGTAACTGTTGAAACTCGTAACCTGTTTCGAAAGTCCAAGAAGACAGAGATTCCAGGTCACTGGCTGTCAGAGTAAATAACAGTTCTCGAGCCAGATGGTTTTTTAATGATATTGGATCTTATGCATAAGTTGATTGCATGGATTTCAACTTGGAAGGCACTCGGGCTTTTCCCCTTGCCTCCGAAATTCTGGTGTTGGGTCCATATACACTACCCCCAGTGCTTCCATTCATTTTTGATCCATCTGAGTACCAAACCAAACTTTTTGGGTTAACCTGTTTGCCTTCATTTTCCCGTGTTGAACGTGATGGTGGGTGTTTCTCAAATTTTCTGCAAAAGCGATAGAGTTTTGTTTTGTAGTCTTCATCGCACTGAGCTATATTGTGTGCTCCAATACGTGATACTAATGTAATTCGTATGTAAATGTGATTCTTATTTATTTTCACTTCAACTTGTTCTTTTTTTCCAATTTATCTCTTTACTTAATGAGTATAAATACTTTAAGTTTTTTTTATTTACAGTTGTTTATAAATAAGTTATTTATAATAATAAAGTTATTATTTATAATAATAAGTTATTTTTCAAATACAACACTTCACTCAGTAAGACAAACCTATATGATTTGTGGACAAATGATACTTGTCAAAATTTTAAAACATTTGGATAAAACTAATTATACGCTGTGAATAATGAATTCTCTTCGAGTTTAATGGATTTGCATTATATTGTAAGATGCCACACAGTGTTGCAAAACTAAAATTACAAATTCCAAATTCAGTTTATTTCTGAACCAATATAGACATTCAATATAGTACATGTATTTAGTACATCCAATTTCATTTTACTTCTAGGCATAGTTGAGCTATAACTTTATATTCTAAAGTTTTAAAACTCAAGGGTTGTCTGTATAAACACGACTTTTTGTGTAGAAGGCCAGTGATGACAAATTATATGTTCGGAGTGGGCAGTTAACATGACTGAAATGTGAATCTAAACAACTGGTTGACTAATTTTAAACAGGATGTGTTGTATTGATTATAGCACTGTCCTGTAGAAATACCATTTCTTTCACT